TAAGACTTCATGATTTGAAGAGTACTTAAAATACACTTTTGATCACAGCACAGTTTTAAAAGCCTTGTCTTTTTTGACCCTGGGCCAAATAATTACTTTTCTTTTTCTCCAGGGCTAAGGCAGACCCACACTCAGTGTGTCACACCACACTTACTCCAGAGCTGTGACTTCCTCCACCCTCAAGCATCTACAACATCCACACTAACTGCTGCTCTCAGAATCCTCCTGTTGATTCCAAGGACTCTGAACTTGCCTGAAGCATCTCCAATATGAAGAAAGGCTGAGTAACCTGGGTCTGTTCAGCCTGAGGAAAAGACAACTGAAGAGGGATCTGATTAATGTCTATAAATATTCAAAGGGAGGTGGGAAGTAAATGGATGAGGCTGGGCTCTTCTCGGTGGTGCATAGCAATAGGACAAGAAGTAATGGCCTAAAAATTGAACACAGGAAGTTGCATACAAACATGCAGAAGAACTCCTTTACAGTAAGGGTGATGCAGCACTGGAACAGGCTGCCTAGAGAGGTTGTGGAGTCTCCTCCTAAGGAGATATTAAGAACTGTCTTGATGCCTACCTGTGCGACCTTATTGTAGGGTACTTGCTTTGGCAGGGGGTGGGACTCAACACTCTTGTGAGACCTCTTCCAACCCTTGCAACTCTGTGATTCTGTGAATTTCATGCAACACGCAATGGGATCACTGGCAAGGATCTATGGAACAAAGTGAAGTAGTGGAGGAACAACATAACCATCCACAATCTTGTACCATCACATGAGCTAGTGTACACTCATGCCCACAATAATGCATCAGAAGTATACTGCTGAGGGTAGCAGTGCACCCAAATAATGTAAGAATCCACGCTGCCATGCAGTATTAACTACACCACCCAATGTACACCCATCGAGCGCAAGAGCATTGCTTCTATAGGGCAGCTTCCTCTTTCAACACAAAGCTTAACTACTAGTAGTAATGTTCTGGGTTCCTTTCAATCAACAAAATAACATTAACATTTCATTTACTAAACACTAAAAAACCAAAACTAATAACAGGTCTTATGTGAAAACACCTGTATGGCCAGATCAGTACCAACATGACACAGACACACCGCTGTCATACACAACCACATCTTCTAGAGAAGCAGTACATTCAGAACAGCCAACATGTATGAATTTGAAAGCTATGCAATAGATAAGCCAGGAAATTCACATTTATTCCAACTCTTCCTAATTTTTGAGCACCTACCTTTACAGCCCAACACTCTTTTGGATGATAAAACAAATGTAGACAAGAGCAGAAGAAAAAAATTAGAAAGAACTCATAATATGTAATTCAGCATGGCTTCCTCTCATTACACACATGCTAATAAGAACATTATCTGGACAACTGATTTTTTTTTTATTTACTATCAATTAAAGAATCAATCTTTACACTGAAATAATTACAAGCTATACTCACATAATTCATGGTTGTGTAAGCACTGATGACAACAGCAATTTTAATAACCCCTTTCCATCAATCTATCTCAAAAAAATACAGATAAAATAGACAAACAATTTTAGTGCAAGAACTTAGAGTCAAAAACAGAGGTTCTACAGCATAATCAGAGCTTGAAGACCTCTGATTATAAAATAATGGATTAAAATCAATGAAATGTTACGAATTGCAATTTAAATCAAAATTCATCTCTGCTTGTATTGCTCCTAAATAATCACACCTTGTACCATAAAATACATTACTACCTACTACCTGTCAAGCACAGCTTTGTTTACAACATGTAGAAAATAAAGCTGTAATTGGAATTCATATATATTTTATAAATTTTTAGTTTTCGTATTTTATTTCATATATTTTAAGTTTTACTAATCAGCACTGTATAATACTTAGAATTTTAATTTTTGTAATAAGTAAATCTGAACTTGAAACAGAAGTTTTTAAGAAATCATTTCATTACTGTAAGGCCTTTAGTAATTGGCTCATTAGAATAGTCAGAAATTAAAGTCTTTTTTCTGATTGAAGTGTTAGGATGAAAAGAGCCTTTGGTTCAATTTTAACAAAACATCCAGACTAAATTTTCAACAAGACACTAAAACCATAGTTACTTTAAAAATATTTATTTATCATTAAACTGGTGGCTGAATTTATTTCTCCAAAGTGGTACACTTCTGGCAAATAACCCATTACTGCAATCAGAACATAACATTCTATAATGTGCAGATGAGGGCTTTTCACCACTGGTAATTTTTGCCTCTGCCAGTCCTTAGAAACATTATGCCTTTGAGCTCCCAGGTAGTAAAAAGAAAAACTTCAGGAAGTATCCCTTCAATCTACTACCACTAACATCTGAGATGTTCTGGAGTTAACTGAGAGACCTGTAAGGGATTAAATACTAAGAGCAACCACAGCTGCCAGAGATACTCAAATTTTATTTCTGCTTTACCTCATGTAAATTACTCACCCAGATTATAATCTGAGTTTTGCTTAAAAGGTTTTCTACCTAACATGCAGTTCTGTTGAAGAATAATTTCTAAGGAAAATAATAGCAACAAGGAGCTAAAATGACTTATTTCCCACCTACCTCCTTTTTTTTTTTTTTTTTTTTTTTTGCCTGAAGCAATTACAATTCATTAATGTCTTGTACAAATATCTTCCTAGGTCTATCTTGCACGTGAAATATGGTACTTCATTTGTAGTTTTAAGTGAAGTACTTCCTCTGGTGACATGTTGGACCAATGCATCACTAAGAAAAGACATGACTGTGAGTTCTCTGTGTATTTATCATAAGTCCTGTCTGCTGAGGAAAAAGAGGAATTGCAAGTCTAATGGAGCTAATTAAAGCTAATGGAAGTAAATAAAACACTGCTATCAGATGATGTAAACAATTTAAGAACCTAAAAGTGTTTTACAAGTCTTCTTTGTTATATAATCTGTCCAAACAGATAAATATTGTTGGCCCTATTACACAAATTTAGAGAGTAAGGGGCAGGAAGGTTTCTTCTTACATGACAAGATGACTCACTGGCAAAGTCAAGCAAAGGTGAAGGTAAAGATAAATGGAGAAATACAACTCAGTGCTTAATCAGTGTTACCATACCCTACAAGTACCTGAGTAATTAAAATATCATTCATCTAATCAAGTGCAAGAGAATTATAAGATTGACAGTGTGAATTCCAGAACGTGCTACCTCGGACAGGGCATGATCCTAAGCCAGGAGCTGCAGGTTCACTACATCAGCATACACCAAATCAACGCTTCCACCATTTCTGTTCCCCAAAAAAAGCCCTACAAAAAGCTTACAGGAAAGATCCTGCATGATCAAGAGGTCAATCACTTGACTTCTACTGATCCTTTACTGATTGTTTTATTTCTAGTGCTCAAAGCCAGTCTCCAACTGAAAGCACAGCATGGGTGAATATCTAGAAGCAGAGGAAAGGAAAAACCATTCCCAACTGAGTACTATCATAAAGTTACTTTTGAATTTGATTGAAGTTTCTTTTCACACAAACTACTGGGAGAGAATTAAGGTGAGCACTGCTGTTACAGGATTCCCATCCACTCCTGCCAGGGGCAATGGGCCTCACTAGCAGAAGCAGGCATGCAGCACCTAGTATCTACGTGGGCTGCACTGACCTCAAGCTCCTACTGAAATCTAAAGGCAGGTGTTTAAAACATGATGTAGCTAGCCCTCAGTATATCTGCTACATTCAGTGGATATACCTGGTATTTTCTACTCAGAAATTATTACTAAATTCTGAGTTACCATCACTGTGCCATGTCATTCCATCTGCATTGTAACTGTTGATTGGAAATGCAATCGTACATATCCAGAAACAGTATGTTATCCAAGTAACCAGGGAATGATGATTTCAAAACATTTTGGCAGGCTGGAGCTCCAATTAAGTTGTTATAAAAACTTCCTGCACACCTGGACGTATCACACCGAAAGCAAACAAGTTAGGTAAATAACATTCTCCTGTGAATGAGCCATGCACTCTACCTACCCTATCCTACTAAGGGATTCAGACCATGCCTAGCCAGTGCCTCAAAATCATTCAGTCTTGGATATGTTTTACATCTTTGAACAGAGAAGGATTTACTGATCTTCCCAGTGGGTTCCTGCTTTAACACGAGGAAGACATTTTAAGTCCATTCAATAACTACTGGGAGGAGGCGGGTGGAGAGGGGAGAATCCACCCCCCTACCTGCCTCTGGGGCATCTCTGATACCTCTCAGTGCTCTCCTTAAGCATGAAAGGCATTCAGCAGCCGACAACGTGCCCTTTGGGTCACGCACGCGCTAGAAACCCCAAACATAAACCTAAATAACTGTAAAAATGAAAGCGTAGAGAGCTGCCTACGTTCCCGCTGTAGCACGCACCTTACGGCAGGGCACGACGCACGCTGCACTTGATCGAGGTTTGCGATAGCGGGACCCGCAGCCGGCCCCAACTCACAGAGCAGCCCCAAGCGCGCAGCGCTCCCGTGGAGATCTCCGCCGAAGTTTTCAGGTGATGTCAACAACAGGAAGGACGACTTCGAGCCAGGTTTCCATTTCTCATCAGCCGCTGCCTTAGAAGTTGGGAGGAAAGCGCGTTTACACCAAACCCGACGCGGGCTCCGGCACCCCGCCCCTTCCCCCGAGCCGGGCTTCCCTTTCTCCCACCGGGGGGCCGCGGTACGAAACGCTTTCATCGCGCGGACATCGGCCCCCGTCCCGCGGTGCCCACGCCCCTACGAGCGCGCTTCCCACGGCCCCCTCACCTCCGCGCCGCCGGGCTGCGGCTCCCGGGCTCGGCTCCGCGCTGCAGTCCCCGCGGCGCTCCGTGCCCGGGACGAGCCCCACCGCCTCCGCCGCCAGCCCTCCCGCTCGCCCCGGAGGTGGTGCCGCCGAGCCGTGCCCGCTGCGACGGCGACACCCAGCGGCGGCGCCACGCCGGCCCGGCCCGGCCGACGAGAGGGGAGTCGCCGCGCGGAGCTGCCGGGCCGCTGCCGCCCCGGTGTCCGGCTCCCTCCTCCCGGTGCCCTCGCGGTGTGCCAGTGCGGAGACGGGGAGGGCGGCGAGTCGCTCGGCAGCCATACCTGGTGTGGGCTGGGCAGGTCGGAGAGAGAAGCGTGAGGCCGGGCTGGTACGGAGCCAGAGCCTGGACGCGGTCTTGAGGTGCTCTCCTGAACACAGGCTCTTCTGCAAAGGTTGTGTGGAGGTGAAGGAGCACAAGTCCTGCCAGAGCACCGAACTCAGATGGGCCAGCTGCTCTTCTCCCAGCCGGCAGGCTTCCAGGGCTGGGCTGCAGTCTGAGAGCCCATGGGAGAGCTTGCTGCACCAGAGCACCGCGTCACCCAGCCTTCTCTTCACTGCAGGGCCCTTTGGTGCACCTCAGCCATATGTCTGTGTGGGCATTTATGTGTGTAAATTCACAAACTGGCAGGAAGGTGAGTTAGACAGGAACATCTTTGAACAGAGCAGGAGAAAGGGGTTGGTGTGAGTAGTATAACAGTATAACAAAGCATAACAGAGGAGGGATCCAAAGAAAGAGAAAACAGAGCAACACAGTTCCTAATGCAGAGATACTGTGGGCATTTTGGTGCAAAGTCCTCTGCCAGAAGGCATTCTTGGGATGATGGCCTGAATGAAGCAAATATCGAAGTATCACAGGCACCAAAACTTGCAACGAATATATGCTTGTGAATGGTTTGTACCAATCCCAACATAATGCCCCCATCTAATACATTTGTCATGAAACAGTTATGATGGTATTCATATTTTGTGCCAGTACTCACACCAATTCTTGCTTCTCGATGTTCTACAGATTCACCGACTCTATAGTTTGGTCAGGATTACTGTGCTAGTCCGAAGTATGACAGTGTTACAGAAATCAGAATATAATTGCTGAAATGCACAAAAATAGGCTGTGATTGCTTACACTACAGCTTTGGTTCCTCATTCCCATATTCAGTATAGGCTTTCTCTGTGGGAACTTCATTGATGCTGTGTAAAATTCTGACATGAGAACAGAAGTATTGGTGCAAGTAACAGTTAAGCTGTGTGTTAAATACGTTCCACATATTCTTGCAGGAGAACTTGATGAGAACTTTGATTGAGAAACAAGATGTTAACACATTGCAGACAAAAAGGTTTCCCTGGAATTGATCTACAAGCAACCTGATGGGAGTTTTTCCCCTTTAAAGGAGCAGGATGAGACGCTGGCATGACCCCACAAACCTCGATGTGGGTGGGCCCCCTGAATATGGGGATGTCAGCAAGCCTACACCTGTGCTTAGTTGTCGTTAACCTCTTTCATCCAGCTTTGTGTTCCCTTTTCTAGTTTTGTTTTCGATCGGGAAGAGAAAGTCATGAGGAATTCCCTCACTTGCCTGAAACAGAAAATATTTGTCATGTCTGTGAAATGGAACTCTCTCTGAAACAGTCCAATCACATTCAATATCTTACACAGTGTGTATTCAAAGACTTAGCCCCATGTCCACTTGCCCCTACCAGCAGTCTGTGAGTGCAGGCATGGCACTGATTCATTGTGTGCAGCAGGCTAGGGAGTTAAATGATCTGATGAAAGAAGAGATTTAAAAAGAAAGAGAAAAGGGGGAAAAGGAGAAAAAGAAAAAAAGAAAGAATGAAATGTGGAGGGGACAGAGCAACATGGTGGTAAAGGGACAGAGGACAAACAAGTACTGAAGTTCAAGCAGAGCCCAGGATGGATTATATTGCCAAGAGGTTGGCAGAAATGCTTCAAGCTCCACTCAAAAAAACCTATCTGAGTTTAGAGGGCTCTGAACCTGAAGCTGTAATCAAGCTAATGGTCACTGGCTTCAGCACTGTGGGAAGTGTGCTGTAATCAGTGCTGTCCTACCTGAGCTTCCACGCCTTCATTTGGTATTTCAGTATCTCCAAATTATTCTCTGTGACTGATGCTGTTTCACAGCTCTTTGTGTAAAAGAAACCTGATACAGTCAGCCAGGCCTGTGGGCAAGCCCTGCTTCCCCTGATCAGCTTTGAAACCAGCTGCCCTTCCTGTGCAGATGTGATCAGTGGCGTGCAAGACAGACGGGCCTTTATTACCAACGTGGAAACTTTCCTCCTCTTTCTATTAGGGGTTTTCAACAGATTGGTGTCTCCGAGGGCTGTCCCAAGACAGAAACAATATTGGTGTACGTTCCTGCCCTACATTTAAGTCTTGAATCCTTGTAATGGACTTAATGTTGAAATATTTCACATCACATTCTGGTAAGCTGTTAAGCTGTTCACAGGAAAAACTTCCAAGCAGGTGGATGAGTTGAGAATAAGAAAAGGCATTTATTGAAATCTGCATATTGGTAGATTTGCCACTACATGGGATATAAAGGATGGATTTCTCCTCTCTTTCCTCTCTGGAAAAAGCTGTTCCTCCATTATCTCAAGTGGATTAGAGCAGCCCGAGGGCCTCTTGGTAAGAGGAAGAAGCAGTCAGTGGACAGAAACAGACACAGCACGTATTGGTGGAGCCCAGCTACCAGAGGTGACTTTCTCTGGTCGGGCTGCACGGAACGATGGCCAGAAGGACAGCGCTCGAAGCAATGCGAGAAAGCAAAAGCAGCGCCGGGAGCCCTGGCAAAGAGCTTCCAAACCCTACAGGAAGCCTCACTGCAATAAAAAATGATCATTTTCGTCTGCGGCTGCCCGACGCCCCGCAGCCACCGCGGCCCCGCGCACCCAGCGGCCCTCCCTTGCCAGAAGCCGCGCCGTCCGCACGGACAGCCGCAGGCCCCCGCGCTGCGGCAGCCCTCAGACCGCGGCGCCGGGCCCGGGCTCAGCTCGGGGCCGGTATCGGCAGCGGCGGGGCCCGGCCTGCGCGTCAGGTGACGCGGGTCGCGGCGCCGCGCTCTCCGCCCAGCGGCGAGCGGGGGAAGGGAGCGGCGGCGGCGGCGGCGCGGAGCCGTGTGGCGGCGGCGCGGCACCTGGGCTCCCCCCGAGGCCGCCGGCAGGCAGAGGGGCCCTCGCAGCCCCTCGCAGCCCCGGCGGGGAGCGCGGCCGGCATGAGCCAGGTGCCGAGGAAGCTGCCCCAGGAGGAGGGGGACGAGGAGGAGGAAGAGGAGGAGGAGATCGTGGGCTTGGCGGGCTACGCCGACGGGGCCGAGTCCTTCTCGGACGGGGACGCGGAGAGCGGCGGCGATGAGGCGTGTGAGTGCCGCCCGCCGCGGCCGGTGCGGGCGTGGGGCGGGGGAGCAGGCCTCGGTGGGGCCGGGAGGAGCCGCGCCGGGAGCCGGGCGGGCGGCGGGTCGGCGGGAGCGGGGGGGGCTGCCGGGGGCCGAGGGGAGGCTGGCGGGCAGCGACCGGCTGCGGGGGGCGGGGGGGAGAAAAGCAGACAAAGCGCTGCGGGGAGGGGGGATGGTCCCCTCGCACGCGTTTCCCCGTCTGGGCGAGATGCGAGCCGGCCGTGCCAGGGAGGGGTGCTGCCGGCTATAAAAGGCAGCGGCGGCCCCGCGCTGGCGGGCAGCTGCCGGTGTCAGTCGTCGGGTTTGCAGGCTCGGCCCGGGGCCCGCGGGTGCTGGCCGGCGGCGATGGGTGCGGGCGATGCGGGCGTCCCGAGAGGAGCGGCACCGCTCCGCAGGGAGAGGCGCGCCGGCTCAGAGCCTGTTGCTCTCATTCAGAGCGTGGGTTCGTTCTCCAGAGGTTGCTTCGTTCGGAGGGCTCTGGGGACGTCGATGTGAAATGAGAATTGCTTTCTAATAATTGCAGAACAAAAGGCCGCGTGCTGTAAGGCTACGTCCTGGTCAGCTTTTCTTCAGAAAGCCCGGTCCTGCGAGCTGCCGTGGGAGGGAGCTGACCGACTCCCACGGTTTGGGGGCAATCGGAGCTCCAAGCTCGGGCGTGGGGCTGTGAGGACGCTGGGATGCCAGAGATGTAACTGAGGCTAATTGACGTCTTGTGTGAAGCTGCTGAGGAATCGCCTTCATTTTGATGCAGAGAGAATGTATTTCTGTGCATTTATTTAGTACTAAACCGACAGCACCTTCTGCAGAGAAGTAATCCATTTTCTGTTCTCAGAGGAATTTATTTGGAAATTTTTCAATGGGAGCTTTATTAAATTGCTAAAAAATGGCAATTGCTTCTTCACAGTAACGTGAGAATATTGTACCTAATGAAAACAAACCTTGACATCCTGAATAGCAGGCAAGTGAAGAGACCTCTCCACTCCAGGGTTAACACAAAGGCTTATTGTACCAGCCAGACCCCCTGCCTTTCTGCTTGGTTCTGAAGTCTCTGGAGAGAAAAGAGGGGGTTGGATCTGGGCTTTGTGTATATGAAACTGGCCTCAGGGCAAGGGGCTTTCCTTTTCCCAGTTTCTATCCTATTTCTTCTGCTTTTGTACAGTAAGCAGTCTGAAGTACAGCATCCCAGCCTCCACGTGTGGCTGTTGAAAGTGAAGGGAGAAGCCAGGCTTCAAAGTAAAAGTATAATTTGTGCACGTAGGCACACAGGATATTTCAAAACTTTGTGTTGGTCATCTCTCACCCTCTGCTGTTTTCTTGACTCCAGCCTGAGCTGAAATGACTGCTGTTTGTCCTCCACTTCATCTTTTGATTCTAGGCATGGGGTCATACTCAAATACCTTGAAGCACTTGGTTTACATAAAGCCTATTCACTGTTTTGATACATGCATTTAAAAAGTATTTACAAGCAGGGAAACCTGCAGATGTCCGAGGAAGTAGCTTGAAGTTGGATCCTTGCAGAGTGCCACACTTGTGGTAGAATAGAGCCAGACCTTCTGGTTCTGAGTCTTTGGCCACAAGAATTTCCTTCCACCAGGCATTTCTGCAATGTTCATAAACCCACAGTAGCTGAACAGCACTCTTGATTGCACATAAGCTTTTTCTGTTAACTCTTCAGGCTCAGGCCACTTTCAACATTGAAGATGTGCAGTGTGTATATTTATAAGGCTATTGTCTTAAAGACTGCAAACATCACAGTCCCGGTAGTGTTGAAAATGCCATGAGTTGAATGGGCTTGTAGGTACTTAAATGGAAAGTATGGGACTGGTAGTTCTCCTCTATAGAAAAGGTAAAAGCTTAAGAAAAGAATGATGTAATTGCATTAGTAGGCCAAAAAAATAATCGTTCTCAGCTCTGTTAGTTAAAATAGATTGTTAATGTGTGCATAGTAGAATGAACAGAAATGTAACTTTTGGTTTGGTGTAGCTCAAGGAGATGAGCTACTATGCTTTGTACATTTGAGAACTGCGGTCTTCTTACTGATGGAAACTAAACATACTCCTTCTAACATGGCATTCCCTTCACATGTGGCTGATAGACCCAGGCTTCTGAAAAATAATTGTAGCTGATGTGGAATTTAGGATGGGTTTCAAAAACTGTTAATTGTCGACGAATATCTTAAATACTCTAGCCGTACATTATTCATACTGTTTGCATCCTGGTGAAACAGACCAGGGCTGCAGTTCCCAACTCGTCACAGCTGGGCTCTTCTTTGTGTTGCATTGCACACTAATAACACTCCACAAACACGTGCTACCTGCCGTTAAAGTTTTGCCAGGAATTGAGTACTTCTGTGTTGTGAAAGGGCTTTGGGGTTTGTTAAAATTAATTTGTGGATACTTCAAAGGCTTTAGCTTCTAACCAGAGTGTTCTTAGTGGCTGCTTAGTGGAGTTGAAATGTGAAGGAGAGCTGTTGGTATGTGCTAGAAACTGGCATTTTATGACTATGCAAAAGTGAATGAAGCAGGAAATATGTCTCATCTGATGACATGGAAAATTATCTTTCCCATTATGGAACAGAGAATAGTTTAATGTTGCTCATGCATAGTATAATCTTGCTTAGTAACCCAGTCTGGGAAGTTGCAAGGATAAATCTACTGGCATTGCTATGGTAAATTAAAGAAGGAGTTGTCATGTACTCTGGAAAGGAATGTGGGCAGGCAGTGTATCATCCAATTCCTTTACATATAAGGTAATCTCCTAACTCTCTCTCCAAGGAAAGTGCTTCAGCAGCTCTGCTATCTAGTCAGGTTTGGATGATATTAATTCACATTTCCCTCTTTGAATTGGCAGAATTTCAAGAGCTAAGTAGCACTCCTACTAGTAGAAGAGACAGCATTCACTCTACTTGCTAGTAACTGTTTGCACTTCCAACTCTGTTCTTTAATATGGTTTTAATATAAAGTGTTTTCTTTCTAGTAACTATTACAGTCCATAAAAATGCGTCTACCTGGGAAAACATAATATAGCAACAATTTAAAACTCCAAGTTATTTTAAATACTTTTTTTTAGGTACCTGTGGATTTTTTGGCTTATTTCTTAAAGAAGTAGCTAGCCTGTCTTCTTGTTATCTCATAACTTGTCAGAACTTTGGGAACTACTGACCGCCTCCACCAGAATTTGAAGGAAAGAAGTCTCAAATATGATTGAGTTTGTGCAGGCTTGATGAAAGGTAACACTGAGAGGAGAGGCTCCAGTGAAAGTGTTCTCAGAGACAGGCAAGCAGATGGACATGTGCTGCGGCAGCACTTGGCTGCCTGGTGCACGCCTGTGTGCTGTTGAGGCGTGTGGTCAGCTCCAGATCAGCCACAGCACGTCACATCAGTTTTTTGGAGGGTATGTCATAAGACATACAGGGAAGTTGGTGTTACTGTGGTGGGGAGAGGAAAGGGAAACAGTACAAAGCCACAGCAAACCAAACTTGGTAGGTTCTGTTATGAACAGAGCAAAGTGGAGTTTTTTTAAATAATTCTTTGGAACATGCAATTGAGGATCAACCCAAAGTCTGGTTTTTGTATGCATTTTGAAAATAATGTATTCAAACTAGTTCTTGGAAAGCTCTGACTAAATTAATTTCCCTTTAGGTGGTCAAGATGTAGATTGCACGATGTATGGATATATGAACATTAATAAAATGTTGTCTGTATTTTTGGCAGCTGTAGAGAGTTTGTGCATTAAGGAGAGTGGAGTGGAATATGCTGTTAAATCTATTCCTTTGGTTTGCTTTGTTGACAAGACTGCGCCATGCAGAACGTAATGAATGCTGTCACGTTGTCTTAGAGCAGAGGCTTATTATTCCTCTCTCTCTCTTGGTTTGAAGTATCTTAGGCACATATTTCATGCAGTCACAGAATGATGTTATTGCTCACGTTGACAGGAAGGGTAGAGCAGTGTGTCGACTGCAGTTAATTACTTTCTAAATATTGGTGCCTGTGGATCAGCTGCTGTTGTCCATTGTTGCATTAGGGGGATGAGCACCTTACAGTCCCCAGCAGCTTGCTGCTATTTTGCTTGAAGGATTTCATCTGCATGCTGCTCCAGGCTGGCAGTGTCCTGTAGGTGAGGCATGACAAAGCACAGTATGTGGAAATAGCTGCCAACGCCTGTAAAAATGCACAGGATCTCAAAGATCAATGGTCTGTCAGTCACTGTGATACCAGGGGCTCACAGTGAGAGGCATAAGTACTGGTGAGCCAGCAGGCGGTGCAATTCCAAATTCACCTTAGGAGAAAATGAATAAGAAATGCAATTTCCCTCTATCCTGAATTAGGTTGGACAGTCTGTTATGCAGTAGGTAGGAGAAGGCGTGCCTGACATCTCGTGTGCTTGGCCTGTTGTCTGACCTATGTTTTAAACCTGACTGCTGTGTGCTGAGTGCCTTATTCTGCAGATATAGCATTGGCAACTCAATATTTTGTGTTGCTTGTGTTTGGACCTGCAAACAGGATATCACAGGATTATTTTAAAACTTTTTTTCCACTATATTCAGCACTAGGTTCAGCTCAGCATCACAGGACATTTCAAAGTTACAGACCTACTACATTTTAGTAAGAATTTAGACTGACGTAGCCATCTTAATTAGACATTCCTGAAACTGAAATGGGTGTGATCTCTAGTGTGAAAGATATGTGAGTATGTATACTCATATCTATATGAATATATCAATATAGTTTATTCCTCTAAGTCCCTTTATGTTGATATAACTGCATCATCCCTGAAAAATGTTCATTTTTAGTTGCATGAGTTTCAAATTGCAGTAGGTAACACAGCTGAATAACAGTGTTTTCAGGCCTTTTTGCAGATAGGCAAGGGTTATCCTGTAATCTTATTATTGGATAACAACACAAATTATTTAACAGCAGATGAAATCATAATGATCTTAGAAATGGACTCCCCTTGAGCTCAGTTCTGTGCTTTAAGTCCCAACAAGAGAAGGTGTGTGCCTGCTGAGTTGTCCTCTTCCTATGGCTCTTGGGATGTGTGATTCCTTTGCTTAGAGGAAGGAAGAAAGCCTTTGTGTAGCTTTACAACGTCACACAAATGTAACTAACACAAGCTCACTTCTTGCTTCCAGCAGCATGATCTAGCTGTTGTTTGACAGAGGTATTTGTTACTGGATACTCTTTTTTTAAAGTTGAGTTAGAATGTTTTATTGTGTTACAATAAAATGACATATTTTAGGATGGCCGTGGGATAAAATAATTTTCACGTACAAACTAAGCATGCTGTTTCCAGTTTCTGCCATAGGTGAAAAGTAGGTTTTCTTAGTCTACTAAGGGGCAAAGAATCCAGGCTAAAATGTCTGTAGTTCCCTCAGTTTAAAAATCAGTAATATTTGCATAAATCCAGCTCAGAGTGTCATGAAAATAAATGTCAGATTAATGTTATCTGTCAGTTACTCATTAACTACATTGCTATAGTATGTTACTCTTCTTCTTGTATGATTTTATTCAGTTTTGGATTTCAATGATCCCTTCAGTACTGAAGTTAAGCCACGAATCCTGCTCATGGGTTTGAGAAGAAGTGGGAAGTCTTCCATTCAGAAAGTTGTCTTTCACAAAATGTCACCAAATGAGACCCTCTTCTTGGAGAGCACAAACAAAATCTGCAGAGAGGATGTATCCAACAGCTCCTTTGTCAACTTTCAGATATGGGATTTTCCTGGGCAGATTGACTTCTTTGACCCTACATTTGACTATGAGATGATTTTCAGAGGCACTGGAGCACTAATATTTGTTATTGACTCTCAGGTAAAAAAAAAAAAAAAGAAAAGAAAGGGAAAAAAAAAAGTGTGTATGGGTGTGCATTTAAGCTACCTTTGTCTTTTTTTAGCAACATACAGATGGATTAGAAAACATAGATCCTTCAAAGTAAATAAATAACTTATGGTTACAAACGCACATTTACAGGAAGTCATTAAAACTTGAAGAGCTGCTTGGCTATTTTTAATCTCACTTTGCAAGATGTTTAAAACAGATAACTGCTTTAACATCTCATGGTTTTTGTTCAGTCTCCCAAGTGCTGACAGCCTAATGTCAGTGCACATGCTAGGTACAAGCTCAGTCTTCTGTTATAAGAAATAAAGAACCTAATATATTGTTAAGCTGTAACATTATTTAAAAGCAATTACTGTGATCTTTTAGATATTTTACACATCTTTCCTGCAGTTATTATTTTTCCTTCATTAGGATGATTATATGGAAGCATTAGCTCGGCTGCATCTTACTGTGACCAGAGCATATAAAGTGAATCCAGACATCAACTTTGAAATCTTTATCCATAAAGTGGATGGCTTATCTGATGATCACAAGATTGAAACACAAAGAGATATTCACCAGAGGGCAAATGATGACCTTGCAGATGCTGGATTGGAGAAGATTCATCTCAGGTGAGAAAAGCTGCTGTACAAAAAATCTTATGTCAGAGAGGAGCTGTTTATTTAACAAGTTAATATTTTCTGTTCTCTTGAAGTAGCAAGCAGAAAGATTTTGACATATGAAGGAAAAAGTCACAGATAATTTGCTTGGCTCAAGTCAAATGCAGTATGTTATTTCTGAGTGCTGTCTTGAAGAGCAAGATAAGGAGCGGAAATGCTTAAAAACGGATGACAAATATGTCAGAGTCCTGCCAGTTTTTGCTGCAGTCTCTGTCTTGAAATTAGAAGTATGGGCAGTGGCAACCTGTAGAGTGCATATGCCATCTATGTCACTTTTGTCTTTGAAACTGCTCCTTGCCTCACAGTCATCTCCCAGTTAGTAGTTCTCATTATTGCAGAGAGCTCCTCAGAGCAACTTGGGAAGGCAAAGAGAGAGCACCTGTCTTGTATCTGATGATAAAGCAAATTATTGTAGCAAACAGTTAAAAACAGTGAACTTCTATAGACTAGAAACTAGGGGAACATCAAGTTTCCATATTATTTTTAGTGCTTATACCCAGGTACAGATGTATAGAAAGAGACACTTTAGAGCTTTTAAGAACTTGACTGCACTGTGCATTGTTATATGGGTCCAGCTTTCAAACAGTTAAGTCACAGAAGATATGTTCAGTAGTATTCCTCTTCTGCAATTTGAAAAATATTTTCTAAGATTACATCATAAAGGGGAATTACATCATGAAGTCCTACATCAAGTGCTCATTTGCACTGTCTAGGTGTTTTGTTGTCTGTTTTTTGTATGGAGGTATGCATTGCTGTAGCAAGTATAATAGAATTTAGTTTCTGTATGAAGGCCTGTGCTTCAATCATAACATGTGACTTTTGATCACAAGGGGTAATTGCATAATTGTAGGCATTTGCTGTTTGACAATATTTCATTTCACTCATATTAGGAAAGGTGCATCGTGTTCACAGTATGTAACTAAAAGAAAAATCTGGTGACCTTTTTTTTCCAGCTTTTATCTGACAAGCATATATGATCATTCTATATTTGAAGCGTTTAGCAAAGTGGTACAGAAACTGATTCCACAGCTTCCAACACTGGAAAATCTGCTTAACATCTTTATTTCAGTAAGTACTTGTTACATATTTTGTCTGTAGATGAAGCTATGACCATCACGCATGTTGAAATATCCTATTTGCTGTCTTCTGAGAGATCGTGAGCAACGTGAACGTTCAGAGGAATTATCAAAATAATTGAAATGTACTCACATGAAACTAGGCCTCCCTTCCTTGTCTGACAGTATTGCTGAACTGCTGAGATACAATATTTTCTGAGTGAAAGTAGCACAGAAAGTGCATTAGCAGTCATAGAATCATCAGGTTGGAAAGGACCTACAACATCATTCAGTTAAACCATCCTCCCACTACCATTGCTACCACAAGCACTAAACCATATCTCATAGCTGCTCATCAGAGACCCCTTGAACACTGCCAGGGACAGTGACACCACCACCTCCCTGGGCAGCCATTCCAGTGCCTGACCACTCTCTGAGAGAAAAAGCCATTGCTTTCCTGCTTTTCAATTCATTTGAGTATTACAAAAAGTCTGTGCTGTATGCAGTTTTTTAAGTAGTACTTGAAATTTGTTGATAAATTCTTAAAGGAGCGTCATCTGATCTGACCTCTGACAGTCAGAGAACTGTCTATAGTACTTCGAGAATTTATTTTATTTTGCATTGAAATTTATCTCTCTTAGGAAAATGTAGTTTTAACATTTTTAGAGGTAGAGTCCAGTTATTTCCAAGGCCAGTTAGAGAATTTTGTATATCTAGCATTCTGCTGTTGCTGTGGAGATAATTGCTTGTTCTACTGCTCCTGGATGTGTGGTCTGTTCCCCTCCTTTATACTGGTTGTGACACTTGCCTTTTCCCTCATGGAGTCACTCTGACACATACTAATACAGCATACTCTCCAGTTCTTTTGCCTGTTTCATTTAGTCAAAATGAATGTGAATGTGAAACACAGTAAGTAGTTGTGAGAAAGGGTAGTTCCTCCCTTTTCTTGATGCATTAGTTCAGATCGTAGTGGCTCCTGGAACTGTGCCCTTTTTTGTACCTCACATTAGCAGTAGTCAAACTTTAGTTTCCAAGCAAGGCATTTTGGTTTGCCTTTTCGTGATTATGAAGTCATGAAATTATTTAATATCATTCAACAGCCTGTAGGATAAAATAAGACTTCACAGTTTCTCAGTGTGGGGTGTGAAAACTGGGAGAGAGGGAGGTTGGCTGTTTTGCTGAAAGGGAGAGCTAGGATTAAAGAAGTGTCTTTCCCAAATTTATTCTCTTATTATTAGGCAACCAATTCATAAGGAATGGTTTATGACAGAGACCTCTTTCCAAGAAAATGGCTGTACTGCATGCCAGTTATCATCCAGCCCTGCATTCTACTTAGGGTAGAAAGGTAATGATGAAAGGATGATGATTACAGTTCTGGAGCAATTAGGTATTATTTTGAATATGCTATATAGTATTAATGAGAAAGCTGGCTGAATGATAATCTTCATAATTCCAGAACTGCCCTAGTTACTCATATCATGAGTCTGATCTCTGTATAGGGTCTTCTCACTGTTTGGAGTTGCTGAAAAGTTTGTACCAAACCGCTACATGAATTGAGCATGAGCTGTTTCTCGAATGACAACAATTGCTTGTGCATCTGGGACACCCAGACTGAAGGCCCCAGAGTAATCTAGAGTATTAGATATGACCAGTAGGGTAGAACAGCTCATTCAGATGAATGGGAAATTTAGAGAAGTATTTCTGAGAGGTAAGCTATTTCCTCTGCCCATAGGGCCAAGAATCTCAACCTATTTCTTAGCTCCAAATAGAACATAACAATCAGTGGCATAGAACAAGATGTAGCTGCTTCACTGTGTGCTCAGAAAACTTGCTTTCTGCTTATAAGAGCATCTTTCATCTGTAGACGGGAGGCTCGGAATGACTCTTATTTGCAACCATAGGAAGACTAAACATTGTTCTCTGGTGTAGAATTAGTGGGCGCCTCTTTAGCAACTTAGTGACAACAAATCAGGTTAGGAATCTTGACATAGATTTTGTTCATACTTCAGGAAGCCAGTGTGTTGGTTATCAGAATGTGGGTGTGTTGGTGTTCTAGTTTGGGTTTGCAGCGATATTCATGAGGATGTGCTTTCATTTATGCCATGAAGACTTCCAACACAAAAGCTGGTGATTACAAAAATAGATCTGTGATCACCCTTGAGTTCACCTCAGGTTTTTAACCAATTTTTATAGTGCCACAGTGTGTTAGCTCATACAGCTCGTACATTTGATCATGATAATACTGCTTCTATGTTCTTTAGTCTAACTGCCTGTAAAACAAAATAACTAAAGAATGGTTTGGTGTTTAAAACTCATGTGAATTTTGGCTAACACCAGCTTCATATAGAGGGATGTCTGTTTTTCTTATTCCTATGGCCTTACCAGGTAGTCAAGTTGTGTGATGTGGGAATGTGTAAAAACTACTTTTTAGGGTCAGCTTCTGACTCCATACTTTCAAGAAGGAGAAAGATAAGACCATTTATCTAATCTAACAGTTGATTTCTCACTGTCATTTTTGCTATCTATGTGTTAATGATGTCTCTATTGAATAGTAATTTTTACTCCAAACGCCCTGACTTCTTATGGCTTCATAATTACTGTTTTTACTGGTATGTTTATCTTGATAATTATCCTCACAAACATTCTGGCAAATCCTTTGGTTTTGTAATTTAAGGCATACTAAAAACTCCAGAAAATAAAATCAGAGAGGTCATGCTGGTACAGTTTAGTGGTTACCACTATTGGCAGCCCACCCTATGCTTTTGTAGAGGTTTCTGTCACCATACAAAATCAAACAAAAGGAGTCTTGCCAGTTTCTCAGCAGATCCTACCATAGCGTATCAGTTTCAAGTTAATGCAACAATGGTTTAAGATGCCAAGTTTTACCCTACTACCATGTGTAATTGCTGGCATGGCAGCCATTTCAAGATGAAAACCTTTTAAACTGCCACTGCAAGTGTTGACAGGCTGCAGTTGCTAGAGTTCTGAGATGAGTACAACACTTCTCATTGTTAAATGTTACAATATTGTCACTGACATCCTAGTATTTTAAGGTACTTCTTATATATGCAACTGAATTTATCCTTACATAATATAAAATTTTATAATTGACTCCTCAAGAATGACACTTCAGGACTCAAGTTCCAATCTCTTTTTAAAAGTAGTTTTCTTTTTAAGAAATATATTCAGATGGTATTTACAGGTAAATTGTGATTAATCTTATTTGACAACACCTGTAGAAGTATGTGAAGTGCTGTCAGAATTTATGTATTGTTTAAATATTATAATTGCACAGCTATTAAATGTGGCCAGAATAACCAAAATAAATACACATACAGTTTTGTTCTTAATGCTCAAAAAATGTAGATTTGTAGAGCCAAATAAGCTGAGCAGGACCTTTAGAAGTCAGCTCCTGCTGAAAGCCAAGCTACTGTGTGCAGATTTGCATAGGGCTGGGTCCAGTTTGGCTTTATGTATCTCCAAGGATAGCAACTCCCAGTGCTTGACCACTCTTATGCTAAAAAAGGTTGTGTTTGTTGTTGTTTGTTTGGATTTTTCTTTTTTGTGCTTTACTTTTAATTTTTTTTATAAGATAGAATTTCAGTTTGTCTTTTGCCTCTTGCCCTTCAACACTTCTGAGAAGAGTTTGGACCTGTCTTCTGCACATCCTCCCAAAGGGGGTTGGTTTATAGACCACAATGTGCCACCTTTTCCTCCGACTGTGTAATCCCAGTTCTCTGAGTGTCTCTTTGTACATCATGTGCTTCAGCTCATGTACGTAGGGTATCCAGAGTGTACACTTTCTCTTGAATATTTTTTTCTATTAATGACCTAAAGAAATGAGCCATTCATGAAGTCTTTTTCCATAATGAAATGCAAGAAATTCACCTCTGTTACCACTGTGAATGAATATTTCCAACCTTATTTGGATGCCCAGCAGTGGAAGAATACGTAAGGTTGAAATTTTTCTGCTTATTATGGGGAATTTGGAAAGTGTGAGGGTCACTTTAGTCTTTAATTATGTGTTATTCACTTGCAAAAGGAAGAACAAGAAGAAAACTTCTGTAACTACAAAACCTGAAACTATTAAAAGTTGGTATGGGTTGTCAGAGTCTTTGACAGTTAGAAAACAGTTATAGCAACAGTCCCAAATCCTACTAAAAGGGAGGCCCATATACGGAAAAAATATGGTTTAAAGAGAGAAGATTGCTTCTGTTCTGTGTGTCTGGATTCTGAAGCATGTTTGTCAGCTTGATCTTTAGCTATACCGGGAAGTTGTCTTTTGTGTTCATGCTGGGATAACTGCCCAGGTGCAAAGTCTTGATATGACCACACAAAGCTACTGTTTTCAGTTTTCAGTACACGTGGTGTTTTTTTATTCCCACTCTAGGCAACAGAGGCTTATGGCAGTTTGCCTTATCTACACAAAGAGTATAAGCTGAGACTGAGCTAGCATTCTTGCCTACCATCTGAGAGTTGCAGATATAATACATGTTCAGTATGGAGAGAGTCTTGATTAGCTTGGCAGGATGACAGGAGCATAGATGCTGTCACATTAGCAAGCCTTAAACATGTCTTTAACCACAAATTCTATATGAAAACTGAAAAGGCACCATCAAAATACTGATCTTTTTCCTGTGATTCTGAATAGAAAATGTTCTAAGGAACTATGCAGTAGAACAGCTACTGATGAAACAATTTCTCAGTTTCCTCGGGGAATTAGTTCCTGATTCCTGCTGTCTTTGTCAATTTTTTTCTCTTCTTTATTTTCACCATCCTACACGTCCAGTTAGAATAACTTTAAATTATCGTTTTCTTTTTATGTCCATTGCTACAATCGGAAACAGCACCCCAGAAGCTTGGTCTTGGAATTTTTTTTAATCTTGTGTTTTACACTGAAAATAAGTGTAATTTATTCTAGAGAGGAAATTTGGGTACCTAACTTCTATCAAAGACAGAAGCGTATAGAAGGTCTGTAGCCATCACAGCTTGCTACAAATATGTAATTCCTCAAAATGAGCTTGATTGCAAATTAACTCCTACTTAACCTTACCTTTTTTTGTACAACAGGCAAGTAGGGAAACAGAAAATCTTGGTACTAATTCAAACACAGGGCTTACATTTCATTTTTCTTTCTTTCTTCAATAGAATTCTGGGATTGAAAAAGCATTTTTATTTGATGTAGTAAGTAAGATCTATATTGCAACGGACAGCACTCCAGTGGATATGCAAACTTATGAGCTCTGCTGTGATATGATAGATGTTGTGATTGACATTTCTTGTATATATGGGTAAGTAAATTGTTTTTTTGTTTTTTTTTTTTCATGAAGCTATGTACCTGGAATCTGAATGACCTCAAAATAAGAATTATGTAGATGTAAAAATAATGATAATGAGTAAGGGAGAAGGAGGAAATTAAGGGCCTCTTAGGTGCAGATCACCTGCTAGCAACAGTGTTCCCTGTCCAGCTTCTCTTGCAAGCACCTTCCTCTTTCTATGTGAGTAATTTATTTTTTGTGGGAAGGAGTGGGAAGTAGCCATCCTAAAGTAAAAGGAAATATTAACTATCTTTTTGTTCCCTAGGGCCAAATTCAACAGAAGGATGTCTCTCATTTAAAATAAATAATTAAATGTGAGGCTGTATGGAGTTGTGTTTAATAGTTAGTCACCTCTGCTGGCCTTAAAGAGCTGCTTCACTCTTTCATCAGTTTTTTGCTTGTCCTCTTTTCCCTGCACAAAATTTGAATTTTTCAGCTTCCTATCCTTTAGTGATTGGAGAACTCTCACAGAATGGCTTAGGTTGGAGGAAACCTTAAAGATCATCGAGTTCCAACCCACCTGCCATGGGCAGAGTTGTCAGTCACTGGATCAGGCTGCCCAGGATCCCATCCAACCTGGCCTTGAATGCTTCCAGAGATGGGACATCCACAACCTCTCTGAGCAACCTATTCTACCACTTCACCATTTTTTTTTGAGTAAAAAAATTCTTCCTAGCACCAAACCCTCTTGCCTTCAACCTTTCTTAATAATAAGGGCTCTCTGGCCCTCTGGTCATCTTCATGGCCCTCCTCTGGACCCACTCCAGCAGCTCCACATCCTTCCTGTACTGGGGCCACAGAATAGATGGGGCCTCATAAGGGCAAAGTAGACGGAGTTAATCCCCTCCCTCGCCCTGCTGGCTACCCCTCATTTGATGCAGCCCAGGATACTATTGGCCTTCCAGGCTGCAGTAGCACTCTGCTGGCTCATGTACAGCTTTTTGTCCATCAGGACCCCCAAGTCCTTCTGCACAGGGCTGCTCTCAGTTTTTCTCCCAGTCTGTATTCCGATCTGGGATTTTCTTGACCCAAGTGCAGCACCTGTACTTGGCTTTGTTAAACCTCATTAGATTCTTATGTGCCCACTTACTGAGTATGTCCAGGTCCCTCTATCTGTTGTGTTAGCTGTACCACTCAGCCTGGTGCCATCAGCTTTCCTTGCAAGTTATGTTGGTGTTTCAAATGGCTTGGCCCAGTGCAGTGCTAGCTATTCTTGGGAAAGGCAGGGGTGCATTAAGTATTAGTACATTAAAGTGTATAGAATTGGAGGCTAACCCACAGTATCTGCTTCTGAAAATGTGATAGTCTTCAGTAGTCTGAAATTCTTACCTATTTTTATAGATCTTTTGTACTCTTCAAGAAGGTATGGGGGAAAATCCTGGCGCAGGTGTGCAATAACTATTAGAACAGCAAAAGAACAACAGATTGTTGAATACTTCTGTAAAATTTATTTAGTTGTGTGTTCTGCTGCATCTTTTAGATTTTAGATTTGATCTCTTAACTGTACAAGAACTTGTGTTTTACAGAGGTTTACAATGAAGGATTCTGATTCTGTAGCCTCTTTTGTATGTGTGGAGAGAAAGATACAGTTCTGTGGTTCAAAATGATTATCTGTATAACACAACAGGGAGGCATTCTAGTCAGTTTCATTCTGCCACTGTCTCTTGTGTAATCATCTAGCATTTGTCATAGAAACCTGCCTGTCGAAGTTTTTAGCTGCAAACTAAAAGGATGATATTGGAATTCATTTATTGTCCTCTGTTCCTGGAACATCTGTGAAACCTGTTACCTTAAAATACTATTGATGCTAATTATTCTGGGAGATTGATGGTAACTACCCATTTAAGAAGATCTCTGTGTGCATTCAGGAATGAGAATAAAATGACAAGGTCCTAATCCAATACAGTGATTGTCGTGGTGTATCATCTGTGAAGGAGAAACATCTTCGTGATATGATATTACAAAAGCCATAGTTTCATGAGGAAGGTCTCATGATGGTGTAAACTATCAGTCAGCTGCCAGTGCTGAAGCAAGGTTTTGGATTTGGAATTATCAATACAGACTTAGTGGTTCACATGTTTTAGATCAGTTGGTAATACAGTGCAGTGATTAAAAGAAAACAGACAACTTTATGGTAAATGGTTTGAAGAAAGAAGGGCTCCATGTCAGATGCTTGGAAACCTAATGATGTGATTTCTAGGTGTATCTGAATAAACAGTTTAATCTCTATGTCCACTTAGTTTATGCATTGTGGTGCTTGAAGAATTTCCCTGAAAGATTAAAATGAAAATTTCATCAAGATTGGGATTATCTGGTGCAAGAACATATCTGGAAATACTTTTAACTCATCTGATGCCTTATCTTGTTTGTTTGTTTGAATATTGCATTTCAGGCTTAAAGATGATGGCACTGGAACTCCATATGACAAAGAATCAATGGCAATCATAAAACTGAACAATACAACTGTTCTTTATTTAAAAGAAGTAACAAAATTCCTTGCTCTTGTTTGCTTTGTGAGAGAAGAAAGCTTTGAGAGAAAAGGTATTTACCTCTTTCTAATATTGCAGTATTTTACCTTATCCAAACAAACTAATGAATAACTCTGATTGCCTTTAGCTGATAAAGTCTCTAGCTGTATCACAAATATTGCAAGTACAGCTTGATAGAGCTTACATAACATGGTTAAAGGCATGAAGTATTGTGCTGACATTAAGATGAAATCATAAATACATTTGACTGCTTTCTGATAAGAAAGCATACAGTTTACATTCATTGCAATGAAGCTTCCATCTGCAACAGTAGAATGTGTCAATTTATCTTGGCTAGCGTTGCTTTGTACCCATTGGCACTAGCATATGCGTTTGGAACAGCTTGTGTGCCATAACCAAGGGATAAGTATTGAAACGAGCTGATAGAAATATGTTCTCGCTTTTCTTGTCTTTGAAAGTAGGCTCTTAAAAAGCTGCATATTTGGGATTAAGCAGCATTTACGTTTTGTAGTTAAAGCACCTAACATTTCCTATCCTGCTCTGATCCTAGTCAAGGTCAACACCGAAAGCTTAGTTAATTACCACATTGCTTACTTGGTGTGGTGTTTACTGAATTACTGGGCTTCAAATGTCCCAAGACTGGAAAGGAACAGTGGAAAAATGAGCCGTCGTTTTGGCTTGTGACCCATTTCTTGTGATACTAATTCACCAGTCAGTGTCATTGTGTTTGTGAATGCAGTACTCAAGCCATCTCTGCTGAACTGTTTGACAGGCTGTTTAGCTTTTATTTTATAGAACTTTACCTGGTCAAATTTCTCTCACATATCTGTACCACTATTACTACCTTTGAAAGTTAGCTGCTGCCCATGTTGGTTTTGCTGTAAGCATTAAAAAGTTTTACTGCAACACTAACAGGACTGTTTCAGAAAAGACACCATGTTGAGCAAATACTTGTTAGGCTTTGTGCACACTTGTGTCAAACTGTTGTGTCTACATAATTTGGGACAGTTCGTATTGAAGTCAATACTCATGAGCAGTATAGTTTGGTATTATAATGCAGTTTTATTTTGGTGTCTTGAAACTTCAACTGAGTACTTTGTCTGCACTCAAGGGAGAAAGAAAGCAATTTCTGGAAAAAAAAAAAAGTATAACACGTTGGGTATGAACTATTTCAAATTTCTGTTGTCTCCTGTTAAGGAAATTGAGTTTGAAAACACAACATTGGCAAAGCTTATTGCAATTAACCCTGTCTGAGGTCATCAGCTCAGTACCAAAATTTTAAAACTGTATGGCAGTATTAAACAATTTATAGTACCCAATAAGTCTTCTGATTGACTACCAGTATGGCTTTACAGCTTTTCTGTGGGATCACAGTCAGCCCACTCACATGGTAATTTTAACTGCCTGTTATGTATGTATGTAATCTGACAACACGACTGTTGTGCTAGTTTTCAGTTAAAGTGTAAAATGAAGTATAACTGACTGCTACTTGGTTATATATATATATATATATATATAAAACTGACATGGTAATATAGCTGTAGAGTATCTGTTTCAAAACTTACATATTATTAAAAAATGATTTTTTTTTTTTTACTACTAGATAATATGTATTTTTATCATGGCTCTTTTGTGAGGTAAAGTTGCAAAATGACACCATAATTTGGGAAACAATTTAATTTATATTGTAGTATCCTGAGTGCTTCTCCAAAGCTCTTTATTAAGTGAAAGCTTTCCTATGTGCCAAAGTACTTCTCTTTGTGTTCTCTTAAGACCAATATGTGCAGTTAATACAGGATATGATAAGAAACTGTGATGCTTACTGAATTACTTGTATTTATTAAATGTACTTCTGCTTAGCACAGAAAAAATTGCCTGGAGAATTCACTGATTATGACCTCTAGAAAGAATGCGGTACTTCAGTAAATGTAGAATATAAACAAATTTGTGATTAGTTCATTTGTGTAAATGTGTTAATTAATATGGAAAACATTTCTGTCTCTGTAGGATTAATAGACTACAATTTCCATTGTTTTCGAAAAGCCATACAAGAAGTATTTGAAGTAAGAATGAAAGTAGTAAGATCTCGAAAACATCAAAGTCATGTGCAAAAAAATAAGAGACCCACTCCTAATGGGACACCAAGAATGCCACTGTAACTGAGGTTTTCTGGCACTGTGGCGAGCTAAGATTTCATGAAGTTGATGTGACTTCTGCATCTCATTGCACTGAGTGAAGAGGAAAACCAATGGGACTGATGTATTATATGAATTTTCCCTGAACGTTCAGAAAGCACTGTTTAAATATTTTTATCCAATCAGTTTTTTTAATATAGTGAGCACTTTGAGCAAAATGTTGTATATATAAGCATTGAGGTGAACACTTGTAAGAATTTTCTTAATATATGCTGTAAACCTTTTTCATGCCATATTAAGAAAAAAAACAGCTGTGACAGAAATACTGGGTACATAATTTGCACTTTTTCATGTTTTCCTTGTGGAGTTGGACTTTGATAAACTTAGTTTTTATGGTGATTTTGATGCATGGCGTCAGGTAAAATGTATGCTGTATTTTATTTACCTGCTACAATCAAATTGGCTAGTAAACAATTAAGAAAACTTGGTACAATGCCTTTTAAAATTTGTTACAGCTAATACCTAACATTCATACTGATCTAATTTCATATATTTTTCAATTTGTAATCTGAAAAGTAATTTTGAAGTATTACAGCAATAAGAACCTTACCAGCAATCATAACTGGTAGGTAAATATTCATAACTGGTAGGTAAATATTAGCTTTTATAAAACAGGCTTTTGGCCAAATTTCATCTGGAGTTCTTCATAACACTGGTAATGCCCTCTGGGTCTACTTTTATCATTTACCTCAGCATATACCACTAAAATACCTTTCTATAAAGACAATTGTTTTGTAAAATGGCTCTATGTTGCACTGGTATTTTTATAAGGTTTTGGAGGAGGGTGGTTTATCCAAAAGGTTGAATTTATGCTGCTAAATTTGTTTTGATAGCCTGCACAGTTGTGGTTGTTGCAGTGAAGAATCTGTGCGTTTCTACCCTGCCATTCAGGTGTACTGATGGAAGTCCTAAAGATGCGAGCACTAACTTTTGATTCCTTCTTCTTATGGGTACATCTGCAATTGAAATCAAAATGAGTACTGGAGAAATCAACCTGTTACAGTAATCAGAATATCTTGCTGCTTTTAATATATAGAAATGAGCAATTTGTCAAAGGATCCGCCAGGCCATCCGAGTACTCTCAAACTTTAAAAATAAGTAAAACTTTCTGAATTCTGTATTTACTGGTTTTGTTTAGTTAATGATGCAAGTGTCGTTCCTAGTTGGAAGAACAACTCCTTTTTCTTTCCCCCCAATCCCACTGCAAACCAGTTGCATACACATTCCAAAGGTGTTGTCAGCAGCTGCTGGGAGTGGGAAGAGCTTGATTTGGAAGGCAGCTTACAGTACACCAGAATTGGGTAAGGGGAGCTGCACTTTACTCAGTCATAAACTTGTCTATCCCTACCTGAGATAGCTCTGGAGATAGGAAGGGAGATGGAATTTGAAAGTTTTCTTTTGGTTAAGGCAAGGAATAGTGCTGCGTGTCTGTTACTGAGTTAAGAGCTCCCAGTGTTTTCTGGCTTTTGTTGAAAAATAAGGAGTTTAACCTGTGAAACAATTCAGTGGTGGTTTGAATGCAAATGCAAAGTTTCTGTATGCTGTACACATCTTGAGGCTCTAATATTGCACTGAATACATGAGCTGGGAGAGCCACTTGGCATTGAATGCAAAGGCTTTCCTCACAAGCATCTGCCAAAAGAGAAATTAGTAGTTTCCAAGTCCCTTAGTGCTGCTTAACACGCGTGACTTATTTATCTTTCTGGAACAAATTGGCCATTTTGGCATGAATGTACTGAATACATGGGAAGTTCTTAGAAATAGGTATTGGTTACTGGATGGATCTAGGCTCCAAGTCTCACTTGATCAGGAATGCAGTTCTAGAAAGGTGAAAAATGTTGAGAATAACCAAAAATGTTGGTCCTGGCAGCAATGTTAAGGATAATTACGGTAGCTGTAACGAAAGCAGAATGCTTCAGAAAGTGAAAGAGTTCAGTTTTGGTTCAGTTACCACCTGTTGTGTTAAGTGAGGGTGGCTTTTCAGACCAACCCTTCAGTTAAGGCAAAGCTCTCTTCAGAGTTCACCACAGAAATGGTGGGTAAGAGTTGCCCTTCCATAGCCATCCAAACTGGACTTTTATTGAAGGGCAGCCATAATTTTTGACTATTTTGTTGAGATCCATCATTGTGACTCAGCTCAGTCTTTTTTCGCTTCATTCTTGTCAGGTATATGTGATTATGTGAGATGAACAACACATACCAGCATGTGTTCGTTGTTGGACAAGACATTAAGAAAAGCATCTCATCACACTGGCTGTGGTATGAATACTATACTAAAGAATGTTGTTCCTTTATATTTGGCCTAAGGTCTGTATAGTCATGTGTACCCTTTTACTTAGAGAGACTACCAAGTTAATTAAGCTATTCATTTACCATGAAGTTCCCTCCTGAATTTGACATCAACTGTAATGAATAATTTAGTGAAGGTGACTTTGGCTAATAAAAATAATCAAATTGGATATTATCAGAGAGAGCATAATTTTCATCAGTTTTATTACGCTTCAAATATATTTTAACACTGAATGTTAAAATGCATTCATTAGACTCTTTAAGATGTTTCTCAGTTTAGGCAATGACTTGCATATAGCATTTTTGGGTAATCACTTTCTATTTAGTATCTCAGGTTTTCATGTACTAGCTGAAGTGATTAAGCACTGAGGCATGCATGGGCTTGTTTTATATAAATAACTTTTTTTTCCCATTCTCTTGCATTTTCTTTTTAAATTTTGTTGAGGTTCTAGTTTTTATCTTAAAGGGAGGGAATACCCCATATGCTACAAGAACTAATTCTGAAAAAGCAATGTAGAGAGATTTAGAAAATACAACACCAAAGAACACCTAGAATTCATGCAGTAAGCTCTGAGTAGTACAATACCTCCAAAATAGGTAGTCTGTTTGCCATTTTTATGTATCATCAGAGTTGTCTGAACATGGGAGGGGCTGTTGCAGATCTAGCAATCTTGAAAACAGTTTTAGAATAAACCCAAACCAATTCAGTATCCCACTGAACTTCTGAAGTTAGGAGCTGAATATCTTTAAAACATCAATTCCAAAAACTTACAGTTGAGGTCTGCACAGAAGAACTAAAATACATCCCTGAACATGCACTGGAAACTGGTTATTTAAAATTGCAGAACCACAGAATGGCTTGAGTTGAAAGAGACCTCAAAGATCATCTGGTTCCAATCCCCTACCATGGGTAGAGTTGCATCTGCTAGATTAAGCACTAAATCATGCTTCCCCTGAACCCCATCTAACCTGGACTTGAACACCTCTAGGGATAGGGCATTCACAACCTCTCTGGGCAGCCTGTGCCCGCACCTCACTGCTCTGTGGAAAAACTTCCCCCCAACATCTAATCAAAATCTCCTTTCCTTTAGTTTAAAACCATTCCCCCTTGTCCTATCACCCATATAAAAAGTTGATTCCACCTGTATTTATAATCGCCCCTTAAATACTGGAAGGCCACAATGAAGTCTCCCTGGAGCCCCCTCAAGACTGAATAAGCTGAGCTTTCTCAGCCTGTGTAGAAGAGGTGTTCCAGTCCTCTGATCATCCTCATGGCCCTTAAAATTATGTGATATTGGAGTGTCTTCTTAAAAGTATATGGCATGGAGATGTAAGCAACAGGAGAATACTTGGGTCAAGCACAATGGAAATGCATCATTTGAGACCTCGTTTTTTGTGATGGAACATTTTTTTCTCATTAAAAATTCTTTGTTTTCTTGCATGTAAAACTGCAGTACTGTGATGAAGTCTTAATTCATGTTGTCAAAGCACTGCAGTGATTTCGTTCAAGAAATTTTTTGAATAGTATAATATTTCCAAAATCACTGACCTATAACCCTTCTCCAATTTTACACATCATCAGTTTAAGCTGAAGAATTAAAGCAAATAAGCCTAGAGGTAATGACACACAAGCAGTGTTTGCTTAAATGACACATATATTGCCCCTTTCATTTGCAGTAATCATTGAGAATTTGTCTTAAATTGAATGTTCAAGTTTTTCTACTTTCCTGTTGAATGATATGCATAACATTCATAGTGATTTTTTGATGCTGCAGGTTTATCTGTGTCCTGTTCTATAGAGAAGTAGGTCATTGACACCAAAAATTTCCTATTTTGATTCAAAGTATTTGTTGACAGCTACATATGAATTTACCTAATTACAGAGAAACACATGGACTTTCCCCATTTCAACTGTGTGAGAAATGAAAAATAACCCAGCTTTAGCTGTGAAATCCTTTCAGGCTCCTCTGTTTTTATATGGTGGCTTCTGTTTGACACCCCATTTCGTTTCCAACTGCATTAATGTTTGCACATCAGTTCATATACTTACTCTCAAATGGCTTAATTTAAATACTTTTGTTTCTAGGTGTTTGGGTTTTGTTTTTTGGTGGGTTTTTTTGTTTTTTGTTTTTTGTTTTTTTTTTGAATTGCGGGGAGAGGTGAAGATTCTTAATGGATTGTTTCTTTTCATTTGTTCTCTCCCTGATATTTTCTGCAGTATTTTTCTGATTGTGCTTTCTTTGTGTTGATGATTCATTGTAGAAAGGTCAGAAGCCAGTCCTTGCCTGCCTGTTCTCTTTGGCTTCTAGGCATTAAGATCTACACACTAGGTCTTGAGCAAAAAACTACTGAAAAAATATTGAGTAAAAAAAGAAATTTAATTTGTGTATCATCCATTAAGTAACATCCTTAAAATATGTTTATGTAATCTTGAAATATTTGCACACCATACAAGCGTATGTTCATATTTATGTTATAGTTGATGCTGGCGGTCACATTTTAAGCATTTCTTAGTTGGCTCCAGAACATATTTTAAAAGAAAAGTTTTGTGTAGATAAAGGTATCTGGAAAAAAAAGTATGTCATTATGCAACAGTCTGTTACGTTGTCTCTTGGACAAAACTAACGTATCTTTGATAAGGAAAGGGAATACTCTGCTAAACATATTTCTTAATAACATTGATAGGGGCTGCTACCACAGTATCATCTGTTTCAGAATTGCTGAATACCATAAGGCAAAGGAAAAAAAAGTCCCATATAGTACACATAGCAGTGCTACAGAACTATGTTACAGGGCAGTATCAGAGCTGCCTTAGTTATGGCAGTATTTATCTTTTGTTTTTAATGAGAGAGTTTTACTCTCCACTCAGTGCAGTCTAAAATCCATTCTGGATTCTGCTGACCTAAAAGGTAGTGTTGATTCAAACATAAATCAGACATGAACACTTTGCAATTGGAAATCTATTTCCAAATCAACAGGGCTTTGATGTTCTGAAGCCCTCAACACAGGCGGAACAAGCAGCCTAGTTACTTCTAAGAGAAACTCAGCCTGTCAATGAAAGGGTTCTAAGTTGTGGAGATTGCATCAATTCCCTGAGAATGCAAACATCAGAGTGCTGCAGTCCCAACTTACTTCCTTAATTTTTCACCAGCACTCTTAAGGTTTCTTGATGCCTCACTATCAGCTTTGCACTGGTATCCCTCAGGAGTCCAGGAACCTGTGATACAATTCCTACTTGTTCTGGAGTTGAATTGGTTGTTATTTTGAATTTCCCAATGGTGCTCATGCCTACTTGCATCAGTTCTGGGGCTATTTTGATAATTACCAGAACCATCTGAATGCAGGAAACATCATCTGTTCCTTTTGTAAAACAGCATGTGGAGAGTACAAGAATGGGCTTTCAGTATAAAGGTTCCAATAGGAACAAATCAGAAGAATGTCACTCTGTCCTAGCAGCCAACATCTTCATCTCTTAATCCTGCACAGAGGGATTCAACCATACTCTGCTTTTCTGCAGTGTTTTTTTCAGTGATCAGGTTGTCCTCTGGTGAGCCAAATGGTCTGATCCACAAATTCCTTCTTTTCTAATACTCCCTTCACAGCTTCTTGAACTACTTTCAGTTACCAGTGTGACATTCATCCTTGGTCTCGCAGAGTAACTGCTGACTGCAAATTCTGTGGTAGGGGAATGCCAGCAGTTCAACCTCCCCAGTGTTGTTCCTTCAGTAATTTTATCTCATGTTTCAATTCCACATTTTTCTATCTGTAGAGCAGCAGGCAGCATTCCAAGTTCTGCAATTCTTCATAAAGTCCATAATACAAAAACTTGAG